CCTCCACTTCTCTTCTCCGTTTTTGTTCTGTGCTGGCATCCTCGGCATTCGCACTGGTCATTTCTGCCCTTTCGTCTTCTCTCCGTTGTTTTGCCTCCGGCTTTGTCTCGTGCGTTCGCGTGCCCTCCTCTTCTCTCTTCCGTTTTCTTTCCGCAATGGCAGCCCAGACATCGGCGATGGCGCGTGCCTTTGTTTCTTCCGCTGCCCTCCGCGCGACTTTCGCCTGCGTTGCCGCTACCCGCTGTACTGCTTTGCGTTGCCGCTACCCGCTGTACTGCTTTGCTGATGCTTCCCCGGGAATGGGGCACTGCCAGCAGTTGCTACAGACTTGGTCACCATTACAAGAACGATGTTGCGCCAGCCAGGATTCAAAAGCGCACGCTGCTTGCTTTACCTTGCAGACGCTGCATCTCCACCAGCCCCATGCTTTACCCGAACAATCTAAACACACTCTACCGCCCCTGCGTGCTCGTTTCCAGGCCCCGCCAGAAAATTTCTTTTCGTCCTTGCGCGTATTGCAAACACTACACACTTGTGTCTGTTCGCACGTCTTACAAATACGATAAAATGTGGCTTGTGGCCTTGCATGTTCTGTCTTGAATGCATCTTCCTGTTTCCACGCCGTGCAGGCCATGCATTGCCACGGCTGCTGCGCCTCAACATGCCTACGAATGCATTCCTTGCATACTCTCGCCGCATCTGCTCGTTTCCATCGACCCGCAGTGAATGCAGACGCCGGCTTTGCTTCATTACATTCTTTGCATTGTCTTTCGTCTCGGTATTTCGCTCGCAGCGCCCTCCAATCCATTTTTTCACCACCCCAGAACCGCAACAGCAATTCCCGCCCTACTTTTGCCCCTTTTTGAAATGGTGCTGCAGGGAACGGTCGGTACACAAACAAACCATACCTGTCTTGGACTCGCGTTAATGCAATGTAAGCTGTCAATGGGTCGCCTGCTTCCCCAATGTGCATGTCCATGACCACGCCTTCTTTGCACGTTTGCCCTTGGGCTGCGTGGGCGGTGGCGGCTCTCTCTCTACCGGACCACCCCCAATAGGGGGGTCGGCGGCACCAGGGCGCTAGCCCATTCTATAATAGAGTTAGAGAAAATGGGACTGCACCAGTCAAATCCCTCCTTTCAGCAGCTGCAAGCCACGAAGAAAGCTGCTACAGCTGCACATGGCGTGTCACTCCGGGCTCCGGTGCTGTGTTTGCTGGTCCCATGGCCCGTCGTGATGGGTTGTTGGGTTGATAGATGGGTTGATAAGAATTTTTAGAATCTGATCATGCTCGGACCAGCCATCCATTCCCTGTCGACTGAACAATACATCGTACACCATGTCAGTGTCACTGTGCCCTACCTTGTAATCGAACCAGGCAATTCCCATTTTGGGGTAAATTGATCCTGCGTGCAAATGCACCATGTTCCATGATCAGAGGCTATCCCTCAAACCCACTGGCCAATTCGACTAGGATGCTGTGGTTGTCAATAGATATCTGCCCCTCACCATTCGCAAATCACAAGAAAATTGTGGCCCCATCCGCCCAATAAAAGGAAGCCTAAGCATGGCATGCATAGAAATGTTCAAGTGGATCTTTTCAGTGTCCATCACACACCAACTTGGCGCCCAGCTTTCCGGAACCCACTAAATCCCAACTTCTGCGGGTAACTGTGATGATTCGTCCTCAAAGATGCCTTGGTGACTTCCGGGCCTTGGCAGCTACCCTAAGTCATGGAGGTGTCCTAAGTCATGAGGGTTACCCCCAGTTATCATCCAGTCGTCATGACCATGACTTAGTATTGAAGCCCACTTTTTGACTTGGGGATTCAGTTTAAGAAATCACCAAGTAGACCCCCGAAACCCCTGGTGGAATGTTTTGGATATATTCATGTTTGATCTCCTATTGGATCGTATTCAATATCAGAAAGGATGAATTTTGATCCACGGAATTGTGCCTTGTCTATTGACAAGATCAAAAGTGAGAGGCGCTCATTCCGATTTTTTTGGGGGATCTTTGGGAAGAGTGTCACCTTCCCTCCAGCAGGGGGTCCAGGAATCTGTAACTCTACTAAATTACACTAAACCATACGTTTGACATCATTCAATCGTTTACGGCTGATGAAAACGTTTCTCGCCATGAGAAAGAACAAAATTTGGTGAATTAGCGCCAAAAACATGTGGTGTGGTGCAAATTCACCACAGACTCTGCACACCATGGGAAATGACAAAATGACAGCTCAAAATGAAATAAAACATGTGTTATCCGGTTTTTTATTTTACATAAGGTCAAGTATTGCGCCTGCCACGAAAAATCAAAGCCGAAGCATCCGAAGCACTGCCCATGCCACACAAGCACCAGGCGCCACATCCGAAAATAAATGCAGTCTCACCAAATAACCGTTTCAGCCTTTCAAAACATCCTCCAAGTTCACCCAATACTGGGCCTGCCAAGTCTTTGAAGCGCCACGAGACGTCGCACCAAAAACGAACCTTCGCACACTGAGGCGAGAAGGCACCTTCGCAGTAGTCGCCCACCTGGGCCCACCTTCGAAAAAAAAAACAAATGTGACCACCTGGTGATCTATCCCAATTAGTAAGTGGATAAAAACACCCCAATTACAACTGGACTCATCCTACTTACCCTACTTATACATTGGGGTAAACTAACATAGACGTGGAAAATTCATGTTCATGTTTTTCCGTCTGGAAAATGAGTTACACTGTCTACATTCATGCTGGGTAAACTCCAAATCTATGTTATTTTCCATTTACTAACTTTCACTCCCACTAAATCCCATGTAATCCCCATTTTCATCTGTTTTCATCCGTTTTCTACTTGGGTTTCCTGGGATTTTTACCAACCCATTTTGCCCAGCGACATCAGTAGCGTCTCCATGGACTGTTCCTGTGACATCGGCACCGTGGCAGCAGAATCTAAGGCCACACCTGGCAAAAGCTGGGCGTGGGGAAAGCCCAGCAGATGCTCATTCTGGGAGTATATAGTATGTAAAATACATGTGTATATATATATATATGTATGTGTATACATGTATATCTAGATGTATATGTATACATATACGTAAATATAAATGAATATATATATATATGTGTGTAACTAGGAACACGGCCTTTAGAAGGCCGTGGGTCTTTTGTGATCAACGGTGTATCATGGGTGATTTTTGATGTGCTGGTGCCAATAGGATTTTGTTTGATGGGATTTTTAAGGCCGTTAACCTCGTTTTTCTGGTGCATATTTTCAAAAACATGCATTTCGCCTAGACGAAACTACCATGTTTGAGGTTTTTGAGAATTCCCAAACTAATTCGACCTGACATGTTTTGATGTGGTTTTTAAGGCCGTTAACCCCTTATTTTGGTGCATATTTTCAAAAACAAGCATTTCGCCTAGACGAAACTACCATTTTTGGGGTTTGTGAGAATTCTCAAAATATTCAACCTGACATGTTTTGATTCCTGTGTTGGTCACAGCAACGCTTCGAGTTCTTCCAAGAACCTTTGCGGATCTGGATTGTTTAAGGTACAACGCCAGCACCGCATGAACACATATTGTGTAACGTAGCATGACACATGAGTGGAAAGTTCAAGAGAACTTACAGTAGCGTAGCATGACGTATGCATGGAAAGTTCCAAAGAACTTACGGTAACGTAGCATGACGTATGAGCGGAAAGTTCAAGAGAACTTACAGTAACGTAGCATGACGTATGCATGGAAGGTTCCAGAGAACTTACGATAGCGTGGCATGACGCATGAGTGGAAAGTTCCAGAGAACTTACAGTAACATAGCACGACGTATGAGTGGAAAGTTCCAGAGAACTTACAATAGCGTGGCATGACGCATGAGTGGAAAGTTCCAGAGAACTTACAGTAACGCGGCATGACGTAGGAGTGGAAAGTTCCAGAGAACTTACATAGCGTGGCAGGACGCATGAGTGGAAAGTTCCAGAGAACTTACAGTAACCTAGCACGATGTATGAGTGGAAAATTCAAGAGAACTTACAGTAACGTAGCATGAGGTACGAGTGGAAAGTTCCAGAGAACTTACAGTAACGTGGCATGACGCATGAGTGGAAAGTTACAGGGAACTTACATAGCGTGGCATGACGCAGGAGTGGAAAGTTCCAGAGAATTCATACACAGTAGCCACAGACAAGCATGTCCTTCCTCCGCAAGTTCACATGAACGTTATTACATGCCCCTTCCTCCGCAAGTTCACATGAACGTTATTACATGCCCCACCCCACCCCACCCCACCCCCCCGATATGTACAAAACACCACGGCCTTATAAAGGCCGTGGTTATAAAGGCCGTGGTCCAACTAGACATATATGTGAATATATCTATATATATATCTGTAAATATATATATATACATATATACATATACAAATACACATACATATACATATAGATATACAAAAATACATATACAAATACATATATATATATACATATATGTATAAATAGTGTGTCATTTGTGCGTATATGTATATATATATATATACGCATGCAACGGTACATATATATATATATACATACATACATACATACATATCATATCTGTTACATACAAATATCATGTCAATGAATGTGCGTCTTAGCAAATGATTAACTACACATGGAGTGAGTGTTTTTTTACGGACCACACCCTAGCTCATCCCCTTAACTGCAGGGGTGGGGTATTGGCCCACCCGCCCGCCTAGTGTTGCACCTGGGTATTGAACTCGGGTCTGACGCATGAGGGATGCGTCTTATCCACTAAACCATACCGGCCCCCTTACCCACACATGGGATGTGAAGCACTAAAACGACAAGACATGGAATGTTAACCAAAAAACACTCGAGAGCGAAGCAATAAAGAATCGGCATATCAATCTACAAAACAACAAAGCCATGTGAAGCAACAAAACGTTGGTTGGGCCATACCTTCCAAGAAACTAAACTGACATCCTTCTAATGATAGTGCGGAGCGAGTCGTTGCAGCAAAATTGCTAGCTTCAGATGAGGAGACCCACCCATCTTTGGTGATTCCAAAGATTTTCTCGTCAACTTAACTACTGACCCCGTTGTTCAAATTACTACGTCCCATCCTAGTTCCATCTCAAGATATCCGAGTTTTCATGGCCACTAGACAAATTGTCCTAAAGTGAAACCCCAAAAAAAAATACAAACAAGTAAAATCCTAGCGAAGAGTTTGGTAATTTGAGCCGTTGCTCAATCTTTTTGGTGTTGAAGACTTGTTGAAATATGGGGGCAAACGGTTAAATCGGCTCCTTTAAATAATGTGGTAATGTGGTAAATCACAAAACTTCACAAACTTGAAAGATTCGGCCATTTGGGGACACTTACCCCTGTATGAACTATCATTTCTTGTGATGTCGGCTTGTTACGCCGTTATAACTCAAGTATATGGTGTTGCTTACAAATATATACGTGTCAATACATCCCATGAAATTCCATGAAATTCCTTGAAATCCCATGAAATGCTTGGTTTTACCCTGTCAAATCTGGCTACCTTTGGCAATCTAACACCTTGCCATGGAAAATGGCTTGGGTCGCTTTACCCTCTGATAGACTAACATAGCTATTATTCTAAAATATTCTAAATCAAACATAAATGGGCCATGTTCATCCATTTTCTATAGCTATGTTAGATTACCAGAGGCTAAATCCCATTAAATCCCATGAAATCCCATTACATTTCATTAAATCCCATGAAATCCCATTAAGTCCCATTAAACATGCTCTTTTTCCATGGCGATGTGATGTCGGCGATGCCTGCCGTGCTCACCGCTTTCAACAGCAGCGCACCGGCTGGAGGACGATCCGCCAAGTAGCTCACAGCCTCCAACCAGAAGTTAGATATATATATGTATATATGTATATGTATATATATGTATATGTATATATATATATGTATATATGTATATATACATATATATGGCCCATTTATAGATGGTTTACCTATTAATAGCATGGTGATTTTCCATGGCAAACTGTTAAATAACCAGATGGTATATATATATATACATATATAGTTGGAGTTTAAGAGGTCTACCAGTTTGATGACCATTTATGGATCTTTGGTTTCTTAAGTCATGGGGGTACCCCCAAATCATCCAATTTCATCCAACACAGGATTTTCCATGAAATAAACCATCCATCCATTTGGGGGTATCCCCATTGATTGAAACCACCATTTAGTTGGGTTTTTAATGTAAAGTTGAATTTGTTAGAACTGCTTCTTCGAACTGGTAAACTCTCATCTTGGCAATTTGTTTCACATGAATTCAGCAGCAGGAGAATCATGGAAGAAACTTATACCGAAGGCCAACTTGGGACCCAAGGCCATAGACCGAAGATGTTTCATGATTTGCTTTACCACATTATTCTTCATGAACCAGGTATTGTTTGGAGTCTAATTTGCCAGCGGGAAATGTGGCGTACAACAAACTCAAAGGGTAATTCGAATCCTCTGGTGCCTGAGCCGTGCCGACTTTCACGCTGCGCTGCACGCTGCTTTGCTGCTGCAGATTCACTGAAAAAAGGTGCCCACCCTTGAAGCCGAGAAAACCCAGTTCATCTGCGCTTCAACTGATCCACATTAATTGAAAATTATCTATCAGCATGACACTCACTGGCGTCCTCGATGTCTTCCTCGTTATCCTCGTCGTCAACATCCTCATCCTCATCCGCATCCTCATCATCATAGTCATCATCATCATCATCATCATCCTCATCATCATCATCATCATCATCCTCATCCTCATGATCATCATCATCATCATCATCATCGTCATCGTCATCATCATCATCATCATCATCATCATCATCATCATCATCATCATCATCCTCATGATCATCATCATCATCATCATCATCATCATCATCATCATCCCCCCGGATATCTCTCAACCGTTCGGTTTTTCTTTTTCATCCCACCTCTCCACGTGCGAGTCCTGGGCTTCCACACGGTGACGGCATTGGAGCGCAAGAGCTGCAGAAACTCGGACAAAGCTATTCGGGTCCTGGGCCACCGACCGTGGGTCTGCGATGCCAAGCGACCAATGGATACATCATGGGAATGATGATGTGTATATTTCATGGAATGTATCATGGAGCATACTAAATCATACTAATAATCATGATTTCCCTGTGGAAATAGGTAGATCATGGTATATCACAACAAGAAGATGTTGTTTTGAGGAGAAAATCATGAGAATCCACTGTAATTGGAGGTATCTATATGTCAACGCGAGGTTTTTCAAGGGCAAATCTGAACCACCAACAATCACGTTGGGGGGGACGCTTTTGGGGGGGGCCCATGTTGTAAGATGGGGAGTGAACTTGAATGAAACAACATCTTTTGGGGATTTGGAACATATCATCAAAAACATTCAAAAACCAAACTTAAAACCAAACTTCGAATTTGACCATCAGGAAATCTGGACTTCTACCATCTTCTACCCCTTTTTCTGTTTTCCCAACACTTTCAGGTAGCCATTCTACGCTGCCAAGCGTCGGGGCCAGTGTCACCTGAGAGCCATGGATGGCTTAAAATGGCCATGTTGCCATAGTAGGTATTTTTTGCAAATTTCCATGGGAAAAACCGATGGAAATTTCCCACCAAAAAGTTCCACTTTCCATAGGAAATTCTCTTCTGGAAATTCTGATGCCTTGGATTCCTACTGGATTCCATGGCAGTACTCCCAAGCCTCAGGGCTCTGATTGGCCAACGCCTGTGAACGCATCCTGACACCAGAAGGGATGTGGAGCTACCGTTGGGAATCTGCTGTCAGACTATTGTCCTCTGAAAATTCACCACACCTTGCAGTCTCAAGACACAAACTCTGATAAAATTCAGGACTCTGCATAGATGGATCATCCGAATTCCGATAAAACCAACTAGTAACTAGTACTAAAGTCAGTAGTATGTATCCCTTCCAAAAAAAAATGTTGTGCTAAACTGGGGTTTTAAGATAGTTAGTTCAGTTCAATACATCGCTTCTAAAATTTTGGTGAACTTATGTTTTAAAACACTTGAATTATAGTCAATAAATTCGTTTTAAATTCAAGGTAAACTGGGATTTGGAGAGTTCAATCAATCAATAAATCCCTCCCTATCACATTTCAGGATTTACTAGATGTTGTTAAAAAAGAAAAAGAAGGGAAATGAAAGCCTCCCAAGTACTTCTAATTGTTCTAAATTTCGGAACAACTCAGGAAAATTGGGACTCCTTTCAAGGTTGTTTTCCCCCACAAATGGCTTTCACGTACCTGAAAAATAGGCTGCAGCAACCCTGTCTCTGTTCAAAGACCCATTTTACAGCCTTTGTATAGCCATTATATAGCCATTGTGTTGGTTATATATCCCATTATATCCCCACTGTATCCCACTATATTATATCCTCATTATATTCCCAATAGCCATGTTTGGTTATATTCCGTAACTTTTTCCAGTCAAATTTTGGTTGCTTACATATCCCATTCTGATTTATTTTCAGCACTAGGCGACCCCAATAGTCACATCCCCAATCCAACCACAAATTCCTCAGACATTAAATATATGTATATATATATCAGTGTATATATATGTATTTACATATATATATATATGTACGTATATATTATGGTGGGTGCTATATCCAATTGTATCCCCATTATATCCTCCTGATACCACCATATGTGTTGGTTAAGTCACCGTCTTTTGATAGTTAAATTACAATCATTATTGCTCTACACCCCATCATTGATGCTTAATCCAAGGTTTACTTAATCCCAAGGTTTAAAGCCATTAGCTTGCCATTATCGATGGTTATATATTCCATAGTCCCATTGTCCCATTAACCAAATCATTTTTGTTGGTTAGACAACTATTTTTGTTGGTTAGATCACTATGTTTGTTGGTTAGATCACCATATTTATTGGTGAAATCACCGTGAGAACCACTATTATCATAATCAAGTTTTGTGTTACCCTCCTGCAAAAGTTTACAGAAATATCGTGTTTATAGACCCTGAATGTCGACTATTTTCCAAATGGCTTTCCCCATGGGTTTTGCACATCTGTGTGGAGCAGTTTGCCCTAGGGTACATATACACATATATATATAATCTAATGTTATATTATATCAAATCATATCATATCATATTTGTTTTAAATTGTATTGAATTATATATATATTATTATCTCACATCATATCATATCATATTGTATGATATTGTATTCTAGTATATTATTAATATTATGTTTTAACATATCATATAATATTATATTATGTTATATGGCCTATATTATGTTATGGTATATTACATTATATTATCTCATCATATTATAATATATTACATTGTAGTATATTATGTTATGTTATATTAAACAATATTATATCATATCAAATTATATTCTGTTATGTTATGTAAAATTATATTTTATCCTGCCATACTATATAGCATGATATTATACTATATTATATTGTATTTTACTATATTATAGTTTACCCAATTATATGTTCATTCTATTATATCATATCATATCATATTATATTATATATATCATACTATGTTCTATTATATAATGTTATGGTATATTATCTCTTATCTTGTTATATTATACTCTATTATAACATATCATATCAAATCATATTTCATTGTATTGTATTGTATTATCTTCAATTATGTTATGCTATGTTATAATTTATACTATTATATAATATCATATCATATTATATTATATCATATTGTAGTATGTTATGTTGTATCATATTTTATCCTAGTTTATGAAATCTTATGAAATTATATCATATCATATCATATTGTATTATATTAAATTATCTTTGGTTATATTTTATATTTCCTATTATATTATTTCATCACATATCATATCATATCAAATTAAATTATACTATTTTGTTTTGTATTACATAAAGTGATATGATACTAAAATAAACTATAATATGGTTTATTTTGTTTATTTTATTTCTTATTATATATTATATTACATATGTGTTTTACATATTATATATTATATAAAGTACATATATATTATTTCTATGATATTTGTTATATATTAAATATTACATATACATATATATATATATCGTATACATAATAAATATAATATACATTATATATATATTAAATATATTTCCTATATTTTATATATATTACATGTTATATATATATATTAAAACATATCTGTATATATATATATTATATTTTTTATGTATTATATTTATTTTATATTATATATATATATATTATATTCTAAATTCTATATATTTTGCATATTTATATACTATATATATATTAGATATATTACATATATTATATATATTACATATATTATATCTATTTTTTTATATATATTATATATTAAATCATATTATATTATATTTTTTAAAATTTATTGTATTTTATTATATTTTATTTCATCATATTTTCTTATTCTATTCTATTATATTATATTATATTATATTTCTATTTTATCTGAAATATTTACATATACATATATGTGTTATATTATTTAAATTTAGTTAAATATAAATATACATTTTATATAGTACAAATTTATATATGTTTATCCCGCTAAAACCACGATATCCCCACTAGATCCCCAGTACGGCGTACTGGGCCAGTACCAAATCTGACCTGTTCCAGGCCCAGTAGGCCAAGGCCGCACCAGTGAGGCCGGCCACCAACTGGGAGGGTTCCTTTTTGGCAGACTTTTTCGGGTAGCCGACATGGGGAGAAAAACAGGATTTGATCAGGAAAAAATGGGGATTTCACGTACTGGAAAATGGGGTGGAACATGATATGAATATGAATAATATGAATATCACCATGAAAAATGGAGATTCAACATCACTTGACCTCAAGAAAAAAATATGCAACCAGAAAAGTTGCATTTCTTCGCCAGAAAAGTGACTATCAAAAGCCATCAAATCACCTTTCTTATCCATCAAAAATAGCAGTTCTACGCAGTAAAAATTAGGGATATGTATATGCATGTATGTATATATATATATATACACAACCAACAAAAATAGAGACATATGACCAGTACCATATCTGGGTTTGTCCACACACCCAAGAATTCGCTGATGCTCTTCCCAAGCTGCATGTCTGAGATCGTATGGACTCCGGGGGATGACATAGTGAAATGCTGTGTATGGAAAAATGGATCTTGAAATGAAAAAATACGTAGCTGGATAGACGGATACTTAGATGATTTTTTTACAGATACTGTAGATGGATAGAAACCATCTAAGAGTTAATGAGTAGATAGAAATATTTCTGGGTTGAGGAAATCGTATCCAAGGCTAGTTCAACCTGTTCCACCTGAGTCCATCACGACTTCCCAATCTCCGGAATCTTCTCCGTCTCGTTCACCTGCTGTTGGAACCGCTAGGTTCCTTTATTTCATGAGTCTACCTGCTGGGTCTATGGTAGATACATACACATATAAATACTATAGAATATAAAATAATAAAGTATAATATAATATGATATGATATAAATATGATATAATATGATATAATATGATATAATTTGAAATAACATAATAGCATGTATAATATAATATCAAATAATAAATATAAGATTATATAATATAATATACCATAATATGATATACTCTAATATAATATACTATAATATAATATAATATATATAAAAATGTAATATAATATAAAATTATATATATATATATATTAATATTCTTTAAGCACCTTAGGGAATCAGCAAATTGTCAAGCAGAATATGGAGGCAAAACACCTAACCTCAATGACAGTGTAGCCTTGAATAAATTTCCAAGTAAAGCTGAAAGTTACTACATCCTAAATTTAAGGGAAAAAACCCAACTACAAACCTGATTTATACAAATGGATTAAAGAACTGTGTTTGCAATATCACGATCTTAAAAGCGGAGCCTATAAGTTGAGTCAGTTGAGAAGTAATGGGATTTAACTTTTATAGTGTCAAAACTGTTTGTGTTTAAAAGAAGTGATGAGGAGAGAACAAGAGACATATACTGACACTAGGTTTCCACAATCGAATAGGAGGATGCAGAATAAGCACCTATGATGATATTACTCTAGTAAATTCAAGTATAAACCATCCCCGACATCACCATAAATCAGTGGTATAAGGTATAACGATTGGGTTTTCCACAATAATCTACCCAGTGTGAATTATTATACTGCAGAACACAAAGAAAAACTTACAATACCAACATAAGAACATACAGAAGTAGAGGCAAGGATTAATATACTACTGATGAAGTCGTTGAAACTGTTGAAAAGCAACAAAAACAATGATGATTAGAGGTCAGGTGTCCGACACTGACAAAAAGTTGTTCATGCCAAAATATGGTCATCAAATGTTATGAAGCTTTGTGTTCTTAACCACTCACAAGTTATTGCAGGAGTTTAAAGGAAAGCCTTGACCATAAATAAACTCCCTAGCATAAGTTTGCAAATGTATAAAGTTAGAACCTTTATTAGATCATGATGTAATAGCGTTTTGATATTTTGATGAGGCGTACTTTGGATTTCAAGGCACATACTCAGAGAATAAAACTGTTGTCACAGGCAAACAAGGAAAATAAATTCATTCTTACTGTTGATACTAGACAATCACAAGTAATCGAACCACTTACAAACACCGAAGAATATGAAACCTTCGCTGACCATTCTGTTTGACCATATAGTATCATGTTGAAGAAATGCAAGAGATTGAAATTACTGGAGGACACAAATGAATTGAAAAATATATCATTTCATTGGTTGAAATTTGAATTGTAATTTGACAAAATTCATTGAAAACTAACTTCAATAGTGCTGTGATAAATGCTTCTGTAAACCAAGAACGATACGTATAGAATGTATCTCATGAAATTACAAAATCGGAGAATCCCGAAGGTTAATATGAAGTTGGAGATTTATGATAGGTAGGAAATACACCAAAACAAACAAGTCAACTTTAAGTACCAAAATCAAATACAAGGTTGTTCATACCGCAAATGCAATTGGTTTTGTCACTGCTTGAAAATCAACACTTTTCAATGAATGGAGACTCAAAAAGTCAGAAGTATTGTCATTTGCTCACTGCATCTCACTGCACTACTTGTCGTTCTGCGTAAGGCAGCATTAGTATCATTGACGATTTTGTTTTCAATATGTGCAACCCCTGGAACATACGAGAGTATATATGGGGAAAGAATTCGGAAAGCAATGAGAAGGGAAAGGGATTTGAATAAAATAATGTGTGTCCAATATACTAGTGACAAATGACGATTTCAATGCAAAATGTATGGGTTTTTAGTTTGAAAAAAAACTGACGAGTACAAACTACAGAATAATTCGGCCAAAACAATCCAAAACAAACATACTGATATGATCTGATATGTACATGTTCAGTGACGTGTTGAACGTTTGTGGATGTGGCCTTCAAATCAATATCAATAGGGGGAGCATAATGACATCTATAACAGCCCAATCGGCAGGTACTGAAATTACTGATACATGGGAAAAATAGCGTGCTTTAACCTAATAATTGTAATTGTAGTGGTAGATCATCAATATCTAATATAGACGACGGGAACTTGCAAGATGTTCCTAATAATTTTACCAGTATTTTTTTAAGACTGATGACTTAGGAGTTAAGGGTTTATGTGAGATAGGAGTTGTGGCCCACAACTCCCAACTCATCAGTCTGTGCAAGCAACGTCTATGTTGAAAAACCACATGAGATGGGAAGGTCACTGTAAATGACCCCATCCTTAACTCCCAACTCATGTCCTGCAAATGAGCATGGCATGGCAAAAACGAACTGTTTTGGTGCATCATCCGGAGCATGCAAAGTGCATGATGCACACACATGACTTAGGAATCTGACATAGTTTTTTGTCCTGAGAAGTTCCTAAGTCATGTGCGTTGGAAAGCCTTTCTGTAGCAGCCAACTCCCAAGTCACAACTCTTTCGGCCATTTGTTTTCGCCCTTTGCGTGTCTTTCGCTTCTAGCTTTGCAAACATAATTAAGAGCATGGACAGCAGCACACTGCACATCAGGCGTGATGAGTTGGGACTTCCATGGAGAGTTATATAACTCTCTACGCATGTGCTGCACCTGCCACTGAGGCACCCACCCACCAACAGAACCCCTTAAACTGATGAGTTGGGAGTTAAGGGCATGCCAGCACACACCGTGAAGAACAAACCAAGAAACAAAATGTCTACGCTGCCTTGCCTGCATGCAGAGTTAAGCCTCTACTTGCATGTGCTGCACCTGCCACTGAGGCACCCACTCACCCACCAACAGAACCCCTTAAACTGATGAGTTGGGAGTTAAGGACATGCCAGCGCACACCGTGAAGAACAAACCATGAAACAAAATGTCTATGCTGCCTTGCCTGCATGCAGAGTAAAGCCTTTACTTGCACGTGCTGCACCTGCCACTGAGGCACCCACTCACCCACCAACAGAACCCCTTAAACTGATGAGTTGGGAGTTAATGGCATGTCCGCGCACACCGTGAAGAACAAACCATGAAACAAAATGTCTATGCTGCCTTGCCTGCATGCAGAGTTAAGCCTCTACTTGCATGTGCTGCACCTGCCACTGAGGCACCCACTCACCCACCAACAGCACCCCTTAAACTGATGAGTTGGGAGTTAATGGCATGTCAGCGCACACCGTGAAGAACAAACCATGAAACAAAATCTCTATGCTGCCTTGCCTGCATGCAGAGTTAAGCCTCTACTTGTGTGTGCTGCACCTGCCACTGAGGCACCCAGTCACCCACCAACAGAACCCCTTAAACTGATGAGTTGGGAGTTAATGGCATGTCAGCGCACACCGTGAAGAACAGACCATGAAACAAAATGTCTATGCTGCCTTGCCTGCATGCAGAGTTAAGCCTCTACTTGCATGTGCTGCACCTGCCACTGAGGCACCCACTCACCCACCAACAGAACCCCTTAAACTGATGAGTTGGGAGTTAAGGACATGCCAGCGCACACCGTGAAGAACAAACCATGAAACAAAATGTCTATGCTGCCTTGCCTGCATGCAGAGTCAAGCCTTTACTTGCACGTGCTGCACCTGCCACTGAGGCACCCACTCACCCACCAACAGAACCCCTTAAACTGATGAGTTGGGAGTTAATGGCATGTCCGCGCACACCGTGAAGAACAAACCATGAAACAAAATGTCTATGCTGCCTTGCCTGCATGCAGAGTTAAGCCTCTACTTGCATGTGCTGCACCTGCCACTGAGGCACCCACTCACCCACCAACAGAACCCCTTAAACTGATGAGTTGGGAGTTAATGGCATGTCAGCGCGCACCGTGAAGAACAAACCATGAAACAAAATGTCTATGCTGCCTTGCCTGCATGCAGAGTTAAGCCTCTACTTGTGTGTGCTGCACCTGCCACTGAGGCACCCAGTCACCCACCAACAGAACCCCTTAAACTGATGAGTTGGGAGTTAATGGCATGTCAGCGCACACCGTGAAGAACAAACCATGAAACAAAATGTCTATGCTGCCTTGCCTGCATGCAGAGTTAAGCCTCTACTTGCATGTGCTGCACCTGCCACTGAGGCACCCACTCACCCACCAACAGAACCCCTTAAACTGATGAGTTGGGAGTTACTGACATGCCAGCGCACACCGTGAAGAACAAACCATGAAACAAAATGTCTGCACCTGATGGTATGGCTCTACCGTGCATGCTGCCTGCTTTTGTGCCGTGCCCCTGCATTTCCAAAGTCAGCTTAAAACTGCTCTGCTATGCTGGAGCACTGCTCCTTGCGCTCTGCAAGAAACCATCAACGAAAATGGCAGACGCTCTTGCCAATCATCATGAGCGTGAAACCGCTAGATGTCATGACTTATACAAGCAAATCAACAAGGCAAATATATATATATATATATCCAATGCCCTGCAAACAGCTGGACTCTATCCCAATGCGTTGGAAGCGCTAACTGCCAAAAGTTCGCAACAGCCAGCTTTCAGGGTGCTGCCTAAACATGATAAAGCCAAGGTGCCATTCCCAAGCAACCATTAAAGGCAATGGCAGACGTTTTCCCAATCATCATAGGCTTGAATTTCAATGCTTACATCTGTACATATATATATAGGTGCAGTGTCCGTGTGTGTGTGTGTGTTAACACAAAAGCGCTTCACAACAAGATGCCGTGCCAAAAACAAATGGACTCTAGCCCATGAGTTGGGACTTCTAACTGCCAAAAGTTCGCAACAGCCAGCTTTCAGCAGACTGCTTAAACATGAGGGAGCCAAGGTGCCATTCCCAAGCAACTTGCTCTAGATTTGTATTGTTTCTTGCACTCTTGCAAGAAGCTATCAACGACAATGGCAGATATTTTTCCCAACCGTCGCAGGTCAGACTGTCGATACATAAGCATGATTTACGCTTGTAACTATTTATATATATGCATAAATATACATGCGCATGCATATCATCACAGATGTACATATATATATGCATATATGTATACAGTATGTATAGTGCACACATGCAATGGATGCCTTGCACAAAAACCGGGCTCTGTCTCGTGAGTTGGGACTTCCCACTGCCAAAAGTTCACACCAACCAGCTTTCAGGATGGTGCTGAAGCAATTTGGTTTAAATCATGCAGCTGAGCATGCCAAGAATCAACATCACCCGGCTTCGTGTCTATGTGAAGTTTGATCAAGTGGCGCATGCACAAAATCAGACACTTCAATGGAGATTTGCCAGCTGTCCAAGCGGCGGACTTGATTGGAAAGCCAGGATAGCGGCACGACCAAAAGCTTTTGGCCGGATGGCGGTTGATCCCACAGCCGATCACTGGTGGCAACCGCTGTAAGTGAGGACCATGCTCTCCGAGCTGTTGCCATTCATGACTTAGATGGTACATTTTGGGATGTCCATGGTGAGGTGTACCTGGACTCGGCTCTGTGTTTGGAGCAGGCAAGTCATCAGCACTGCCCTGGGCGGTTGGAGCACCACCTTCGTCTTCACTGAGCGCATCCCCATCATAGTCTTGCATCTCCTAGTCGGACGTGTCGCTGATTCCATCACTGCCCTCATCAAAGCAAGCTTGCTGGACATCCTTCGGCGCCTGCATACCATCGTTTTCATCCATATCAAGATCAAACTTGTCTTCCTCAATGTCCTCATCTTCGGGACCGTTCTGGGCATCATCATCTTCGGAATCTCCTGGCGCGAATGTTATATATATATAAATCATTCTTAGCAATGCGGCACAACAGTAGTTGTATACATGAGTTAGGAGTTACAGTGTTGATAAAACAAATACAAAAAAGTGAAATTGAATATGCAGGTGACTGTGTATGATTATAGTTATGCACGTTTCATTGATGAAACATATACAACATAACCACAAGAGATAGGAGTTCATACTTTCCTGTGATTTGAGCAGACCCGTCCTGCATAGTGCTCCTTCAAAATATCAAAGCCTGAGCGCTGTTGTGTTGTTGACACGCAGCAAATTTCTCGGGCCGCGAAGCTCTTGCTGTAGAGAGAATAGGTGCCCGGACCAGACGGGTCAGTTGCATCATCGTTGAGCTGGAACTTGATATGTAGGATTTCGTAGCCCCGGCCTTTTCCAATGAATTCCAACTTGTCGTCCACCTTTGTCACTGAACGTTTGAGGTACTGAGAAGTAGCCAAAGCATTTTGCTTCAGATCGTAGACAAAGGACGAGGTCTTGGCATTGACAGCCTCCAACTTTTGCTCCCAGTTGGCGGGCTTCGCAGTCAACAATACTTTCCGCTCGCGTCTGTGGGAGCAGATCAATGTTTCCACAGATCTGCTGATCAGAGACGGCAGAGCCGCAATTCGGCCATCTTCCATCTTCAGTGACCAATACCATCTGCAGGGGGCAAGGTCGATTTAAAGGCATGTGTACATATGTATACATACGTATATATATATTATACATATGTGTGCATGCAATTGCATGCATGCATGTATCTGTGCTTCTGCATGTACATATGTGAGTATACATGTGTATATGCCTAAGCATGTGTATACATTATATATATATGTACTGCTTATAAGTATATATATATATGGATGTACAATGTTGACACAGGATGCACTTCAAACAAGGTCGCAACTCCTATCTCATAAGGCCAGAAATGTGTATCCACCCACTGGTGAACATGACAACAACGATTGACGCAATAGACAGCTACTCAAGTTAAGTCCCATCTCATGTGCGCAGCACTCCAGCCTGTCTGGAACCTTCGGGCAACCGATGTAGTCGTCACGGATTCCCACGGATGCAAGAAGCCCTGTTTGATCAAGCTCACGCAAAGCCTCTTCGTAGCTCATTCCCAGGCCCTCCTCAAAGTGGTCGTTGTTGAAATAGCCTGTCGCGGTCCATGCGGCTACAAAGGCCTTGCGCGGCACTTTCTGCCAGGCTGCTAATGTTCTTTCGCAAAGCGTCTGCTTGTTGCACGCTGAAGGGCGCACCGGCTGCCCGTTGGGATTGATGGCCAGCTGGTCATAGCCTGTCAATTTGTGCAAAAGTAAATGGAGACACATTATGATGACTTAGGATTTGGGTTTCAGGGGCTTAGTCAGACCCAGGTAAAACATATATCAATGCATATGTATATATATATATACATATATACATAAAACGATCCAAAACATGAATTGCAATCAATAGATCCCATCGCTGAGACAAAGCAATTGTACAAGACACTGCAATATCTAGTGAACGTACCAAGTAGCCCGGACGGAGACGCAAGTCCATGCCATAGCCAACATCCTCAGCATCAAGGACTTCAAGTTGTGAGCGAAGTAGGTGGTGCACTTGGTCAATGGGTTGACCATTTGCGCTGAACCCGCCAGCCTGAAACAAGCAACTATCGCCCATCTGCATTGCACATGATTGCATTGAGTTCTACTATATATATATATATCTATATATATGTAACACATGAGATAGGACTTGACAAGCACCAGCTAGGTGAACAAACATCAAGGTATATATATATAAAACACACGTCCATATGAAAAATTCGCCGCTCATTCGTTGTGAAGCATGCCTGCTGCTTTGGAAGCTCACAGCAGGCTTGCACAGCCCAAGCACTCCGTGCGCAATCCTCGCCATGCTTGAAAGCATGGAACCCCGTCCATGCATCCACCAGCAACAAAGCCTTCGCAGTAGGTGGAAGGCCCAAACGACGTCGGTGCACTGCGAGCCCCGGGGTGATCAAGCCGTGCAACAAAGTCAAGAATGCCTCGGCATTCATAAAATGGCTTGTTGAATTTGACCTGAAGATGAAGCATAGTCCATGGTGTCGCCTGTTGAAATCTTCCATCTGCTGCTGAGAAAGGAACCCATCTGGGATACATATGCCCAAAGGACCTGGATGACCTGATGAAAATGTAGATGTGCAGACGGTGATGCTTCTTCGAACGTCCGGAACGTAGTCATTGCGCGAGATGAGGTGGCCATGTTGTTTGTGTCCTCAGTGTTCGCATCGTTGGCACCACAAGTCCCAAGTCATGTGTGTGTGTGTGGAGTGAATCTAAAAATATACTTACACGCCTTTACTTATCTAGAAACATGCAATCAGCCTCTTTCTCCATCTCCGTCGCGACTTCTATCTCCATAGCATCCCTAACTCCTAAGTCATCTCGCCTGGTACTGTATATTATAATTATACAATATATATATATACATATATATATATATGCATGTGTATTTGTGTGATTGTGCAAAACTCTACCTGTTCTCTTAGTTACTGCAATCAAAACTGCACAACACATACGCCACCTAATCAGGTGTGACTTTCTAGGCACAAAAAAATCGACACCCTTCATCAGCCATGGCTCTCTGAACACCCTTCACCAAGACCTTGGCACTGAACCTGAGTGACTGCCCCCACACTTGATCCAGATTTAACACCATGAACTTGTGCACGCCGCCAGCAATCGCATCTGCCACGCCCTTTCGGGCAGCCTGCAAACGAACATCATCCCATTCCTGAGTGTTGGAGAAACAAATCATTTCCAAACACAAGTGATAACTTCAAAAAATGAAATATATATATATATATATGTATATACACATGCGCACTATGACAATACATACTGACAAATGATGCAACGGATGGTAGGAACTCCTATCTCATGTTTCCCACTTCGCAATGCAAAGACAAGCAACAAGATACTGTCCAGCCGTATTCCTGGCAACTCGCCGCCAATTAAAGGCAGACAGGAAGTGATTGATGAATCGATTGCTGATGTCTTCTGGGCAAGGACGTGGAATTGCCACCAAAGTGCTCTTCAGGAACTTGCTCTTGAAAACGCCCACCTCCCGAAACTCACTCAAAATACGCTCATTATGCTCTCGTGCTTCCTGCTGCGCTCGCTCGAGACCACGGTTGTACTCTCGCGCCAACCGTCTGATAGTGACCACCTTGGATTCAGAGACAATTAGTATATGTGTGAGTCCTATCTCATGAGTTACTGTCAGATCTGACAACTAAAATGGCGTATGTTTGCGTGACACACTGAGCTACAAAAAATGCACATATATATATACATAATTATACATATATATATATATGTGTACAACCGTGTGCATGTGCATCTGCGGGTGTTTCGGCATATCAAACCGTATACAAGCTAAATTGTTTGCACTGCAAAACTGTTAGACAAACATATAAATAATATACCCCAAAAATCCTAAAAAAGAAATACGCAAACACTAATTAAAAAAAGTATATGAACATCTCCTATACATCTCCTGTGTCATTAGAACCCCTAACTCCTAAGTCATCAGGACAGAGCATATATGTCTACATCCAAAAAAACATATATATATATATAATGCTATATATATATATATAGATGCATACATATCTAGTCCAAGGCACACAGTGACGGTTGAGAATGACATCGCGGCGCTGCGTTGTCAGCGAGTGTCCGACAGTGAACTCTGTAAGACAGGCGTTGAGCTCCTGCAGAATCACATAAGCTTCAAAGGCAAGCAAAAACCATCAAAAACCCTTGCATGATACAAATATATATATATATATATTATATATATATATAACATAGATGAACTCAAAAGTTGGAGCGCCAATTTGAAAACATATCTGTCGATCAACTGATGAGATAGGAGTTGCGGCGTTTGAACCATACCTCTCCTCCAGTACAGGACCAGGAACACTCCATCTGTTCAGCTTCCCAGTCTTCTGCATCTCTTCTGCCAGCGCATCTTGATCCAGAGACTTCCAGCCCTTTACCTTTCCAATGCCCAAGGCAACTTTCAAGCTGTCAGGGAGTTGGTAGTATCTTTTCTGCTGATGGACTGACAGTGATCGCCACGATTGAGTTTCGCACTGGTAGATCAACTGGCAGATTTTGATTCCACGCATCTGCGGAAACTTGTTCTCGCAAAGGGCCTGCAAGTTGAGGCCTTTGGCAAAGTATTTGCGAGCAGATGGCTTGGCATGGGTTTTCCTTCTTTTCTTTACCACCAATTTCTGCCTGCTCTCAGCAAGCAATCCAGCCGCATAATCAGCGATCTGCACCTTTTGGAAGATATTCAACCTCGGAGCTCTCTTTCTCCCATTTTTTTCTGCAGCTTCATCCTGCCAAAACAATTCAATCTTCAGCACCCGGCAGTCCTATCTCATCAGTATCTGTCGGAAAAAGCATGCATTTAACTCCTAACTCATGTAAGCCCCGCACCACGCCTCTTCCCCACATTTTCTGTCTGCAGCACGTACCACTCTAGCCTTCTTCACCTTCATCACCCTTCGGTTCGTCGCATTTCTTTTGGCTAGCTTGGCTTCACGTTCCTCCTCATCCTCTTCCTCTTCCATCCATGCATGAGCTCGAGACAACGCGTTGTCTGTTCTTTTTCTCTTCGCATCCTCAGACTTTGTTATCTGCATCTGCCTTTTCTGCGCGGCTGTGTACCTCTTGGAGCTTTTTTTCAAAGTATCTTCATGAGCTTCTTGCATCAGAAAAGCGCGTTTCAAAATGCTTTGCATTGGAAAAGGTCGCGTGATCCATTCTTGCTGGCTACCATCGGATATGTCGACCCCTCCTCTGCAGCAACTTCCACCGCAAGAGCTGCGATCAGTTCGTTCCGACGCGCATCATCGGTGCTCCATCCCAATTTGGCTCCAATATCAAAGACAGAGATTAAAGAGGTGGTCAGGATTTCGGTCTTGCTCATGATGCCGGCAATGAAAGTTGAAACCGTCTCCCCAAGTTGTTTGGCTTCCGTCACCGCGGAACAATGCTTGAGCAGGACATTATCCAGCTTCTCCTGGGCTTCCTTGCCTGAGGGGAGTGCATCTGGTCTGACAGTCCACGGGTGCATAGTATGTAAAGAATTATATATATATATACACATATCCTGGTACATCTGCAAACATAGATGCATACTAGCTATATACTAATACTGATGTCTTGGGACTTGATGATTGCAACATGAACGATAGAGATTATGCATATACGTATATATATATATATATTCACATGTTTATATAAATGTCAATATTCCGTCTATATACATATGCACATGTCGCAATACAACATGTTTGCAACCAGCAAGCCTTTCTCTACCTCTTGCTTGGCGCATTCCAGATTCTGTGTGGCATTGTCAGCAGAGATCCGACGCCGCTTCTCTAATGACTCAGCCGGCAATGCCATGATTGCCTTGGCATCTCTTTTGCCGCCTTTCCTAAGCTGTTAACTCCCAACTCATGACCTCCCAACAAACGACTTGACCCAGCAGATTGAGAAAAGAAAACCAACATGAATGGACAGAAATAAACAAAGCATACGCAAAACAAAGAAAAACGATACTGAAAAGTATGGCCAAGCATATTCCAAGGAACTCGTCATCTGGAAGATACCGAAACCCTTGATGCAATTTAGCATGGGTGCCTCGTGTGATCACGGCGACCTTTCAGGGAATCAAACTGCATTGTTATTCAATAACTACCTGAAGTCCTATCTCATGACCTTGATGTTGTTAACACGTACCCATAGCGCACATGCACATTCTAGTACTATAGCACACATATGTATAATTGAAAGTTTACATATATATATATATATACATGTGCAGTGTGTAGGGTATGTGCATGCATGTGCATGCATGTGCATGCATGTGCATGCATGTGCATACATATGACAACAATTGTAAACCATGTGTTTGTGTTTCAGCCTGAGCATCGCCAAAAGTAAGGTAGCCAGACTCTGTCCAGTGGCTTCCTTTTGTCAATTCCGATGGCGGATCCTTCCTCACAAGACCACAATGGAACTCCCCTTCAGGCAATCCTACTTCAGCAGCAAAAACATGTGGGTCTACCCTGCTCTCTTCCTGCACCAATACCCCCCATATTTTCAATTTGGAGCTTTCGAGTTCATCTTTGATCATGTCGGCGTCGAACATGGCACATCCTCCCATGATAACTCTGCGCACAGATGGTCTGACCACGCTGCCCTTCTTCATTTTGATCTCACCTAGCCAACCAGTCGCTCACATGCTCCAGAGCTTGATTTTTTCAGAACTCCTATCTCACTGGTTCTCGCGCAGTGCTTGATTAGTTGAAAACTATATAATGACACACATGCACGCATGTCAACTTCAATGAAGATGCAGTGCAACAAATGCCAATGTCTTGGGAGTTACATAAAGCTATATATATATGTATAAACTGCACAAAGCGCCTGCAAGCAAAAGAGCCACCTGGTCCTCGACAGTCTCCTGATATGCTTGTGTTATTTTGATGCACGCCGCCAATGGAATGCAGCCGTCCGCTGCTGCTGCAATCACATCAGCCACGCTGGGCTCAGAGTCAGCAATAGGTGGTCCCTCCTCAATGTTAGCGAAGAAGCTTGTCTTGTCCTCCATATCGTCTGACTCGACTACAAAAGTCTGCCGTCCCCAGAAAATGGGTTGGCTGGATGATGCACTTGCCTCACCACTGCCCGCACCAATGCCAGCACCAGGTGCCTCCTGGTGATCTGCTGCCGCAAGCTGTTGCCCTAGGCAGTCTGGCTCTGCTGGCTGTGAACTTGAAGGCTCTGCTGGCTGTGAACTTGAATGAGGCACAGTGGCGACTGCTTTTCCCTTTCCCGCCGCATACAGCACCACTTCAGCTTCAGAGAGCACAGAAGTCAAATAGTGATACACGAGCTGTGTCCTCAGCTCCTCATTGGACCCAGTTTTTTTCAACCCGTAGTCGGAGCTCTGCTTCTGCAACTCCTTCCTGATATGGGCTCATTATAAAAACATAATCATAATGATCCACAACTCCTAACTCATCATGACACAAGCTTCAGGTTATTGGCTAAATGATGCATCTATGTATACATATATATATATATGTATGAATATAATCATATATATAGTTAACAAATAAACACAACAAAAACATTTAAAAAAAATATATACTGCAATCCAGAGATAAGATTCTTGCTCAG